CCTGTTCCTGTTCCTGTTCCTGTTCCTGTTCCTGTTCCTGTTCCTGTTCCTGTTCCTGTTCCTGTTCCTGTTCCTGTTCCTGTTCCTGTTCCTGATACTATAGCTGTTGCTGTTCCTGTTCCTGTTCCTGTTCCTGTTCCTGATACTAAAGCTACTAGTAGTGCTAGAGCTAGAGCTAGAGCAAGATGTAGATCTAGATCTAGATCTAGAACTAAAGCTAGTTACAGCTAGAGATACTAAAGCTTAAGCTAGAGCTAGAGCTAGAGCTAGAGCTAGAGCTAGAGCTAGAGCTAGAGCTAGAGCTAGAGCTAGAGCTTCTCCTAGATCTAGATCTTGATTCTAAAGCTTAAGCTAGAGCTAGAGCTAGAGCTTCTCCTAGATCTAGATCTTGATACTAAAGCTTAAGCTAGAGCTAAAGCTAAAGCTAAAGCTAGAGCTAGAGCTAGAGCTGTTACACTAAAGCTACTAGTGCTAGAGCGAGAGCTAGAGCAAGAGCAAGATGTAGATCTAGATCTAGATCTAGATCTAGATCTAGATCTAGAACTAAAGCTAGAGCTGCTACAGCTAGAGATACTAAAGCTTAAGCTATTGGTAATGATATTGCTAATAATATTGCTATTGATATTGCTTGTGGTATTGATGCTGATATTGACAGTGATACTGTGAAACAGTGATACTGTGATACTGATTACAGTATTGCTAATGGTGCTGATAGTGATGCTGATATCTATTAGTACAACTGTGTGAAAAATTGAAATAGTTTGAGAACAAGAAATACTAGTAGTTTAGCAGAAGTAGATATAGTACTGAAATTACAACAACTACTAGTATTACTTTTTCTGCTACTATTTCTGTTTTTCATATAGTAGTAGTAGTGTGAAAAATTGAAATAGTTTGAGAAAAAGAAATACCAGTAGTTTAATGGAAGTAGATGTAGTACTGAAATTACAACAACTACAAGTATTACTTTTTCTGCTACTACTTCTGTTTTTCATATAGTAGTAGTAGTAGTAGTAGTAGTAGTAGTAGTAGTAGTAGTACAACTATATGCAAAATCGAAATAGTAATTGAAAAAGAAATACAAGTAGTTTCACAGTAGTAGATCTAGTATTGAAATCACAATACCTACTAGTATTACATTTTCTGCTACTACTTCTGCTATTGCTACTGCTATTGCTATTGCTATTGCTATTGCTATTGAGCCTCAAGCTCAAGCTCCAGCTCCACCTCCAGCTGGATACTAATAACAGTATTGGTATTGCTGATACTAGTGATGCTGAGCTTGTCCAGCTCCAGCTTGTCCAGCTCCAGCTTGTTCAGCTCCAGCTTGTCCAGCTCCAGCTTGTCCAGCTCCAGCTTGTCCAGCTCCAGCATGTCCAGCTCAAGCTTTTCCAGCTCCAGCTTGTCCAGCTCCAGCTTGTCCAGCTCCAGCTTGTTCAGCTCCAGCTTGTCCAGCTCCAGCTTGTCCAGCTCCAGCTTGTCCAGCTCCAGCTTGTCCAGCTCCAGCTCCAGCTCTGAGCTGGATACTGATTGTAGTATTGATATTGCTGATATTAGTGATGCTGATATCTATACTTCAACTGTGTGAAAAATTAAAATAGTTTGATAAAAGGAAATAGTAGTAGTTTAGCAGAAGTAGATCTAGTACTGAAATTACAACAACTGCTATTCTTACTTTTTCTGCTACTACTTCTGTTTTTCATATAGTACTAGTAGTATAGTAGTAGGAGTACCAAAATATGCATAATTGTAATAGTTTGAGAAAATGAAATACTAGTAGTTTAGCWGTAGTAGATCTRGTACTGAAATTACAACAACTACTAGTATTACATTTTCTGCTACTATTTCTGCTATTGCTATTGCTATTGCGGCTCAAGCTCCAGCTCCAGCTCCAAAATCAGTATGAGGGCCATAACTTTGTCAAAAATAGGAGTTAGATCATTCAATATAGCATCAGATACCTCCCATGGCGCCAATGCAAAG